GAATATTGATCAATTACTTTTGTAGACAAACCCACATACGCGCGTGAAACAAATTTGAGATTATATCAAACTGGGAGATATAAGAATTGGAGCGGGAAGCCCGGGTTCGGGCCCCAATTATGGAGCTACATATATGATTATTGAATAAATTTTGTTTTAGCAGTCCCTCTCCTAACGCTGTCTTTTAACCCCCCTTTTTTAAATCTCGGGCCTGCTTCTGTGTATTTAATGAGATGTATATTTTATTTGAAAATAAGGGTCTATAAATAATGAAAAGTAATGTATTAATTTTTCCGATTTACTTTCTCCAATAAATTGTTGCAGACCTCTATATAAAAATAAGAAAATATGGTGTGATTACCAATGAGACAACTCTCCACCAGAGACCTAATTACATAGACGTTAACAACTCTCTTCATTTAATCTTCCTCTGTACATATTCTTAAAAGGAAAAAAAGGCACTTAATCTATACTTAAAATAACTTCAACTTTCACTTTACCCTTTGAAACTCGCTCAATTTTGTGTTTATCTAACATTAAGCCAAAAACGTTTGTTGCATTTTCTAAATTTACCACTTTTTATAATAAAAACCTGGACAAAACAGTTATGTGTGGTGTTAGTACTTTATTATTCTGTTTTAAAATTTGAAGCCAAATAGTATCATGACCAACTTCCAACGGAACTTGTTTATGTTATCCATGCCCACCGTCACATTATTCCAAATTTATGAAATTTTGGAAGTCTTTTCGAATAATTCTCTAGAAAATATTTCAATGGGTTTCAAAATTAATATTGTAAATATACACACTGCAGTTATTCATAGATAATTTAAAAAAATATATTGTACCCTTACATCCAATCCCAAATCTCAAAGAATGAAAATGTTTAGGAATTGTGCGTTTAATAAAGTCTGAAGTATTATAAAAGCTCCTTCAAAAAAAAAACATACATGACTATGAAACAATCAATGATTTACATAATATTTTATTCACAATAATTGTATAACAATGTCATTAACCGTTAGCACTCGGATCTATTGTATATTTAAAAATGTCATCAATAGCGAGCTCACCAGAATCTTTTATAATAAAGCCACCCTTCTTGAACACTTATATCAATTGTATAACAATTTCACCAATCTCGGGCACAATGATCTATTGTAACAATAACAACGCCACCAATCTCGAGCACCAGGATCTATTTTAACAGCCACAAATCTCGAGCAACAGGATCTTTTTTAACATAATGATTGTAATCGGGAAATTGACTGTATATGTTTACTATCAGTGTCACCGTGTAAAAGGCCAGATGCGGGGTGTTGGCTAAATTTTGACATTATTGCAATCGAACACCAGGATCGATGCTACCATCAGTAACAATGCTACCATTATGCTACCATTATTGCAATCGAACACCAGGATCTATTGCAATAATGCCACTAATCTCGAGCACCAGGATCTATCGTAACAATGCTACCAATTTCGAGCACGAGGATCTATTGTAACAATGCCACCAATATCGAGCACCAGGATCTATTGTAGCAATGCAACAAATCTCGATCAGGATCTATTAATGTAATAATGCCACAAATCTCGAGCACCAGGATCTGTTGTAACAATGGTACAAATCTCGAGCACCAGGATCTATTGTAACAATGCCACCAATTTTGAGCACCATGTCTATTGTAACTATGCCACCAATCTCGAGCGCCAGGATCTACTGTATCCATGCCACCAACCCCGAGCACTCTAATCTATAATTGTAACAATACCACAAATCTCGATGGTGGGTTCAATTGTAATTGTTAATTTATAATTATCATCTGATCATTTAGAAGAAGATATTAAAGAAATTAAAATCATCACATATCTTAAAATATGGCAACCAGGATCTTTTGTAACAATGCTACCAATTTCGAACACCAGGATCTATTGCAATAATGCCACTAATCTCGAGCACCAGGATCTTTTGTAACAATGCTACCAATTTCGAGCACGAGGATCTATTGTAACAATGCCACCAATATCGAGCACCAGGATCTATTGTAGCAATGCAACAAATCTCGATCAGGATCTATTAATGTAATAATGCCACAAATCTCGAGCACCAGGATCTGTTGTAACAATGGTACAAATCTCGAGCACCAGGATCTATTGTAACAATGCCACCAATTTTGAGCACCATGTCTATTGTAACTATGCCACAAATCTCGAGCACCTTTAACATTTTCACCAATCTCGAGCACCATGTTCTATTGAAACAACCCGACAAATCACAAGCACCACGATCAATTGTAACTGTCACAAATCTGAATGAAATTTTCCAAATACTGGGTAGATACATGTATCTGCAATATCCTTAGGATGTCTTATCATTTTATTTTTCAACTGATCGGGCTCGCGGAGCTTACATTTTAATTTGCATAATATTCAAGTAATTACAAATATAAATTCGTATTGCATACAATTTTACAAATCGTAGGTCTAGGTTAGTCTATGAAATTTAGCGCGAGGGGCTTGCCCCGAGCACTTAATTTCATAGTATATACCTTTTCATAGACTATCCAATTTAGCACATATTTACAACTCGAGTAATCTTTTAATTGGTCTATTGATAGTTTATTTTGTATGACTTCTTGTATCACAGGTGTTTGTAAAACGGAGCTCATGATCATTAACGAAGTTTTATGTTTTGTAAACCTATTCACTAGTATCATTGTAAGATATATGATTTCAAAAGGCCCTTGACTCCAGAATGAAAATATGGTAGCTGCTGGTGTAAGTAACTATGTATATTGATATAAAGCGGTGTTTTACTATATATGTACTTCTTTACATGGTAAGATGAAAAAATAGATTGACCAAAATAGGCAATAATTAAATTGCAGTGGAAGCTTTACATGTTTTGAAAACATTTTTCAATTTCACAGTAAAACTAAAGCTATAATAAATTTGAAACATATAGACAGTTTGTCCTTATAGATAGTATAACGGATAGGCATTACAAAGCAACTACCAATATATCAAAGATTAAAGGTTGGTTTTTTTGGTTGTTGTTTTTTTTTAAGTAAAAACTAAAAGATTTTTCAGAATATGTATATATGTATATACATGTATATAGGTGGCACGTTTCCCTCAGACATTATCACGTTTTTTAATTCCTGAATATGCATGAAATATTTGCCACTGGACATTAAGCAACCAATTATCAATAAATCAATTCATGACGAAATAGATCAATTTCCCCAAGAAAGTTAAAAAAAAAAATCATCACCAAGTTGCCCTAATTTCCCTTCACAATGTTTCATAGTACCCATTTTTTTGTGTGCAAAGTAATTAATTGCATTGATGATGAATTATCACGATTTTAAGATAGCGTTGTACTCTAATCAAGGTATAAAGAACCATATTTGTAACTCTTAATTTAAATGAAAAAAAACTTGCAATTGTCAAAAACATTTTTTAGATCCAAAGATTTTAATAGCAGGATATATAAACATCAATATGAAAACTAATTACAAACTATTTAATTTAATTTGGAACACAGCGTTTTATTTCAAAATAGCCAGTGGCAATTTTTGTTTTAATATCTCGATTACGATACAATGAAATCTTACCCTTGTGGTCATTCATGCGTAGTTACTTAGTACACGGAAAAAGTATGCACTATGAAAATTAGAAGGCAAACTCAAGCAATTTGATTGGACGAGAAGTATTAAGTAGGTGCTTAGTCTAGGTTAGTCTATAAAAAGGTATATACTATGAAATTTAGAGCGAGGGGCTTGCCCCGAGCTCTTAATTTCATAGTATATACCTTTTCATAGACTATCCAATTTAGCACATATTTACAACTCGAGTAATCTTTTAATTGGTCTATTGATAGTTTATTTTGGCTGACTACTTGTATCACAGGTGTTTGTAAAACGGAGCTCATTAACGAAGTTTTGTAAATCTACTCACTAGTATCATTGTAAAATATGTGATTTCAAAAGGCCCTTGACTCCAGAATGAAAAGATGGTAGCTGCTGGTGTAAGTATGTATATTGATATAAAGCGGTGTTTTACTATGCATGTACTTCTTACATGGTAAGATGACTAAATAAATTGACCAAAAGAAGGCAATAATTAAATTGCAGTGGAAGCTTTACATGTTTTGAAAACATTTTTAATTTCACAGTAAAACTAAAGCTATAATAAATTTGAAACATATAGATAGTTTGTCCCCATAGATATAGTCTAGCAGATAGGCATTAAAAAGCAACTACCAATAGATCAGAGATTATAGGTTTTGTGTTTTTTTTTGTGTTGTTTTTTTTATTATTTCAAAGTAAAAACTAAAAGATTTATCAGAATATGTTTATATATATATATATATAATTGGCACATTATCTTCAGACATAATCACAGTTTTTCAATTCATGACATCGTCCTGAACATGCATGAAATATTTGCCACTGGAAATTAAGCAACCGATAATCAATAAATCAATCAATTCATGACGAAATAGATCACCTTCCTTAAGAAAGTTTAAAAAATTATCTCCAAGTTGCTTTAATTTCCCCTTCACAAGGTTTCATAGTACACACTTTTTGCGTACAAAGTAATTGCATGGATGATACATTATCATAATTTTAAGATATCGTTGTACTCTAATCAAGGTATAAAGAACCATATGTATTACCCTTTATTTAAATGAAAGAAATTTGCAATTGTCAAAAACATTTTTTAGATCCAAAGATTTTAATAGGAGGATATTTAAAAATCAACGTGAAAACTAATTACAAACTATTTAATCTAATTTGGAACACAGCATTTTATTTCAAAATAGCCAGTGGCAATTTTTGTTTTAAATATCTTGATTACGATACAATGAAATCTTACCCTTGTGGTCATTCATGCGTAGTTACTTAGTACACGGGAAAAGTATGTACTATGAAAATTAGAAGGCAAATATAAGCAATTTGATTGGACGAGAAGTTGTAAGTATGTGCTAAATAAAAATAGATTACAGGTAAGAAGAAATTGTCAATCAAAACAAATGGGACATAACTCCAGTTTAAAAATAGGTATTACCTTCAAAATAAGGAAATACTTATGTCCAACAAGACAGTCCATTTGACCTTATATGGAAAATGTAGCGATGATGGTAGTCAGAACTCAGAGTAAGCAATGCATGTTTGCTATCATTAATTCCGAGTAGACTAGCTAGTACTGGCATAACTCTAAAAGGAGAATCAAAGCCTTTGTGATGCATATACGAGGACACAAATATATAGTAAGCAATAACTACTTAATACGTTTATTATACTTCATAATTAAATTAAAATATAATTTGATTTCTCCCACATAATTTCAATCATTTGATGTTTCTATTAAAAACTTCTTTAGCTTTGAATTGAAAAGAAATTATTTACCTAGTAATGGCCTGTTATACATGTGTAGTTTAGAAATTATACATTTTTTGTTTACCAAACAAAACAACATGGCAAACTTGGTGAGTAAGCAAGTCGAGTTCTAGTAAGAGTAAAAGAAAAGAGTGCTGAAAAAATAATTGAAAGATGAATTTATTGAATTTATTTCGATCAGTGGTTCAACTTTGCTTATTGTGTGTTTTTTGTTGTGCATGTACTGATTTTGTGTCATGGATGGATACCCCATATCCTTTGTTTTTCTATTCTATTATCTTTGACCATTCTACACAAATGTTTAATAATTCTACATTCGATCGAGTCCTCACTATGAAGTTCTTAAAGGAGCTTTCTGGAGAAAGGGAAGTATGACCCGAACGATAACGGTGTTTGGAGTTTGCGAATACACAGTGAAAGTGCAATGTAGTCATTCTTATTGGAGCCAGTTTTCTTTTTGTAAACATATTTGAACTACTTCTTTTTCTTTGGCCAAGTTTTGGATGAAAAATTTTGATAGTGACAACAGACCAATGTTTATTATATTTGTAGTTTTTGTAGTTTTGAAATTAAAAAAGTATGCCTTTCCATGAAATTGACGAAGACATTCCTGCAGTTGTCATTGACAACGGATCCGGAATGGTTAAAGCAGGTTTTTCGGGAGATGATGCACCTAAAGTAGTTTTTCCCGCCATAACTGGTCGCCCTAAATATCAGGTTAGATGGATATTTTATGAATATTTATTTCTTAACTTTGTTTTAGAAAAAAGATTTGTAATAACATTAACTTTACCAATTTTACTGCACAACCTGCGCATTCGACAATAAATGTCTATACGGTGATGACAGAGGCCGAAATAATAGAAAATCTAAAACTTCTTCAAAACTCGAAAAGCTGATAAAACCAAAACAAAAAGGACGAAATTTATAGCAAAGAGAAGGACAAGGAATCAGAGTCTTGCTTCAGGGAGACATATTCTATGATTTAAAATGATTTCAAAAGTTTTATAACAGCAAATATTGATAATACAATATCCGTATGTTCATGCAAGTACCTAATCACTCAGTCTGGCTGCTGTGCTGGTGAATTTGATTACCATTTGTTTATTATTTTAGATAAATTATACAGAGAAAATCAATTTACTTGCTCCAAGGATTTATATATAGTATGTCTTACCATATAAATCCTTGCTTATACAAATAAGGAAATGCGTATGGTATGATTTCCAATGATACAACTATCCACCAAAGTTCAATTGAAGTGGATGTAAGCAATTATTGTCAACCGCACGGCCTTCAACAATGAGAAAACCCATACCCTATAAAATGCCCCCAACATGAAAAATATGAAACAATTCAATTGAGAAAACTAACGGCCTAATTTATAACAAAAAAATGTACGAAAAAACAAATATGACAGACATGAATCAACGACAACCACTGAACTACAGGCCCCTAACTTAGGACAGGCACATATAGAATGTGGCTCTTATTAAAAAAAAAATATGACTTTTATTAGATGGCCGGAGTATTTATGCTATCACATCTTTCTTAAGAACATATCCGATACGTTGTGAAGAAATTTTCGAAAGAATCCGAAATAAAATATACAAATACCTGCTAAAATATTTTTTTTCTTTTTTTGCAGGGTGTCATGTTAGGAATAGCAAAAAAAGATAATTACGTTGGAGATGAAGCCAAGATAAAACGTGGAATGTTAACTTTAAGTTATCCTATAGAACATGGAATTGTTACAAATTGGGACGACATGGAGACAATATGGCATCATACATTTTATAATGAACTTAGAGTGGATCCAGAGGAACACCCTGTTATGATGACAGATGCACCTCTTAATCCCAAAGCTAACAGGGAACGTATGATTCAGGTTTGAGAAATCATTCAGCTTTTGTTTCAACTTTAGCTTTTCAACCAATCTGAAATGAATTAGATTATATTATAAATTACATTATTTTCTGTTTTAATACTGGCTTCTTTTTTATCCTAACAGACAATAGGATTATGTAGTACATATCACATTTCTTTATACAAGAAACGGTCGCGAAATACTCCGCATACAATCCTACATACATGTAATAACTATATGCTAAACAATTCTATTGGGTACTAGTATTCGGCGAGAGTTCTCAAATTATGAAAACACTATACGCAAATGTAAGTTTCATTCAGATTAGTTTATGCAAACTTTTTTTCAGAGTATGTTCGAAACGTTCAACAGTCCTGCTTTTTTCGTCCAAATTCAGGCAGTTTTAACCCAAATTGCCTCTGGAACGACAACTGGAATAGTTATCGATGTCGGTGATGGAGTATCACATGTTGTACCTATGTGGACAGGTAATTGAAAGATTTTATTTCTATCCGACATGGAACCATATAAAAACAATAACATGTATTTATATGTCTTCCTAATAAACGTACTTAATATATATAAATAAGAAGATGTGGTATGAGTGCCAATGAAACAACTATCCATCCAAGTCACAATATGCATGAAATATTTGCCATTGAATGTTTGACAAACAATATTCAAACGATCAACTTTCTGTTTAGCATAAGCATTTTAATAAAAATGGTGCTTTAAAAAGGACTTTATGTGAAGGATACAGACTACTTAATCACTGTATGTATTAGGAAATTCAAAAATAGATTTATTTCGCGTTTTAAAAAGGAAAATATATGCTAATGTCAAAATTAAAAATAATGCTGATTTATGGGGAATCAGATACGATTTAGAAAAAAAATAAATACTAGTACATGTATGACTCTTAATTTTGTTTCAAACATTAATAAAGGCGTAATTGTGAAATACTATTTCGCTATTAGCAGTCAGTTTGGTTCAATTTTGTCGAAATAAGCTCAAAAGCATCACTAATGTATTACTGGCTTGCAAGTCAATAGTTCAACTTATTTAAATCCGTATTCATTTGACCTTCACTTTAACCCTTAGCTGGAGATGGGATATGCATGTTCAGTTTAAAAAGAAAAGAATTTCAACATTCGAAAGTGAAACTAGGAGTCACCGGGAAGATCCATTTCTTTGACTGATTCTGTACACAAAAAAAACCCAACTTTTTTATACAAGTAAAACAATGATTATATTATAAACATTTTAAATATGTTTTCAATCAATGACATGAATTCAAACAGAACTAGAACAATCGTCCTTATACGATTGTACGTGCTTGTTTGTGTATTTATGTTTATATGTATGTTCATATCTAATCGTACGTTCACCGACAGCCTTCGGAGGTCATCTCGATGGTTAATTAGATGGTATCTAGTCTAAAATACACACTAAATTCTGATCTACTATAGCAACTTCCTGTATTGTATATTATGTCTTTGGTACTTTTTTTAATTTGATTATACGAAATTGAAATGGATACATTAACTATCATTAAATTTTACATTTATTTAGGACATGTACTATCACAAGCCATCAAACGTCTTGGCAGGACGAGATTTAACCGCTTATTTACAACGTATCCTCCACGAGAGAGGTTATAACTTTGTCACAACAGCTGATAATGAAATTGTCAGGGACATTAAGGAAAAGCTTTGTTTTACGGCTCTTAATTTCGAACAGGAACTTGAAGCATCAGCCAAATCATCCTATTTAGAGAAATCCTATGAATTACCGGATGGGACTATGATTAGCGTTGGTAACGAGCGTTTCCGGTGTCCAGAATTAATGTTTAAGCCATCATTTATCGGTAAGAATCACAAAATTCCTTTCGTTATAATCACATTGAATTTCGTATATTGTAATAAAAATACCTATGGCAGCGACGGTTATACAGGCTAACACCATAATATATATATGTAATTCGTCTCAAATTTAGCCCAACAATCATAGATCTTCAAATTTTCGTTAGCAATTTCTTTTTTTACATGTATGTTGCCTTCATTTGTCTGTATTACATGCTTCCGCAAGTAGGTATAATAACCACTCGACCCCGTCCAAAAGAAAGAAAGATATCTTTCGTCAAAGTTTTCACGGTTCCTATTGAAGGGATCGATCATTTTTAGTTGTAGCGAGTATGCATTTTATACATCGACCGTGTATCAACTTCCTATTTGTCGATAGTTCGAAATTTTACTACACTCATTGTACAAGGAAAATTTTCGTCAAAATTTTCTTAGCTCTTATTAAAGGGAATGATTTGATTCTTGGTCTGCAGCTTGATGATGCTGAGTTGTAGCGAGTAAGCATTTATTTACATCGGCCGTGTAGCTACTTCCTGCTTGTCGATAGACCAAAATTTTACAACACTCATTGTACAAGGAAAATTTTCGTCATAGTTTTCTTTTTTCAGCGAAAAGGGAGGGTTAGCATGCTCCAGTATACATGGTACTTTTACCCATTGCACACAGCGACGCAGGTCCAAAGCCGACATTGGTCTCGTTTACACGGAAATAAGTACTAAGTGAATTGATAATTACTTGCATGTTTCCTTATAGTGAATTTCAACCTTTTAATACCATGAATGGAAAATTCCATGTTTCTTTCTCTTATATCGCTCACCATTTCAATTTTTCATAATTAATCATATTTTATAGATATGGAATCTTGTGGTGTCCATGAAATGGTTTATTATAGCTCTATAATGATGTCTGAAATTGACAACAGAAGAGATTTCTACAACAACATCGTCCTGTCCGGAGGGTCTACAATGTTTCCTGGTAAGTCATTTTGTTTTGTCAAGATTATTATTATTAGGATGAAATTTGAAAAAAATGGCAGGACAGGAGTTTTGAGTAAAAAAATAGGCAAGATGAGACTCTTTGCAAAAAAAAAAAAGGCAGGATGACAATTTATGTAAAAAAAAGTCAGGGTAAACTAAACAAAAAAACAAAAGGCAGGACCGAATAGAGTGAAAAATAAAAAGGCAGGACAGAGATTACAACTAATAAAAATGCAGGACAACATTTTTCATCCTAGCCCTCACCCACCATTAAAATCAAATGGCAGCTCCCTTACGTGTATGGGAGACTGCGGAGACTGTTATTCAAATGACAGGAAATTTTCTATTCCATGAATCAACTATAATACAATGTAGATTGAATTATGAAAATTATGAAAAAAGTGTAGGATCTACTTCGAAAGACGTATTTACACTTGTATGCAAATTTGTCCGCCATTACTTAAAATCACACAAGTTCCCATAAAATTTGACATCACAAATAATTGATTGTTACTTGACGTCAGAAGGTTATTCGGAGATAGATCTAAGGTTATTTGGAGACAAAATTCAGCTAAATACCAAAAGTGTAAATACGTTTATAGGACTATTTACAACCAAAGTACATACAAAAACAAAAAGATACGTAGAGGTCAACATATACATGTAGGGTTTTCGTTTACATGATATGTCAATCTCTAATATTACAATAAGAAGATATGGTATGATTACCAATGAGACCATAATAGGACTAAGGAGTTAAGAACTGTAAGTCACCGTACGGCCTTTAACATTGAGCAAAACTCATACGGCTTAACAAGCTATCAAGGGCCCCAAAATGACAAATGTAAAACAGTTCAAACAAAAGACCTTACGGCTAAATTGAGTTGAAACAAGACGAGTGTTGTGAATACTTATACAATTAAGAGAGACGACCAAAAATCTGCAATTTAATCCGAAATTTTCTAGTTTGGAAAAATATTAAACATTTTAAAAGATATTATTTAAGTATGAAATTCTCGACTTAAAACGACATATTAACATGTGGAGGGATTAATCTCTGTTTGTTCTGCATTACTCAAACTTCGACATTTTCAATGTTTACTACTGTAATACAAAATCTGCATAAAAAAAATAAATACAAATCAGTTTAGAGAAAACACTTTACACGCGTATATACGATGTTCAGTATCTACATTATATGATTTCAGGTTTTGTAGATCGTATGAGGAAGGAACTGGATGCCATAGTTCCAAGTACTGTGAAAACAAAAGTTATTGCACTACCAGAAAGAAAGTATTCCGTGTGGATTGTAGGTTCCATACTTGGTTCATTATCATCATTCCAACAAATGTGGATATCGAAGACGGAGTATGATGAATGTGGACCAAGTATCGTGCACCGGAAATGCTTTTAAATCATATTGCATGTTTTAATGACAATCAATTCGACATTCAATCCTTGTCTTTCATAATACTTGTAATATTTAATTGCAAATTATCTTATTTAAAGTGTGCACATTTATTTATCATATGTCATAATTTTTTGAATAAGTCATTTTCTTAATTTATAGACATTGCCATTTGCCATTTGCGTTTATAATAATGATAATTTTGTCATAGTATCATGGATAATAATTAATCCTGCAATCGACCTTTCTACTATACTAATACAGGTGCACAGATAACACGAAGTGATATACGTATACTAGACGTGTACAGTCTCCTGGTATCCTGCTTCTGTTGCGAGCGAACGGTTATGTCAAACTACTGTTCACGACACAGTTCAATTTGGGGTCCTCATTGCGGTCCGCGTTTAAGTCATGTCGATTTCTTTCAAAAACAAATTCAACGATTGGGATGGAAAAAAAATGTACAAATTTAATTGCAGAATAAAGACAATAACTGTTTAGTGCCTTTAGATATCAGCTGTATTTGTACGCGGCTTGAAACAGGAGTAATAGCTCGCTGAAGCTCGCATTACACCTGTTTCTTAGCCTCGTACAAATACAGCTGATATTTAAAGACACTAAACAGTTATTGTCTATATATTGTTCTATAATGTTCTTGTTTATTGTGTTTAAAACCTTAATTGTAAGTAAATAACATTATTCGCAAATGTTACGTTTTGGAGATGAATTATATCTAATATTTTCTGAATGATTATCTATTACTTTTGTCGACACTGGATTCATTTCCAAAGCAAAGCAACATATACGTATAAAACACACACAGGCATTAAAACCATAAGAAAGCAACACAAACAAAAATAGTTTTCTCAATTGAATTGTTTCATATTTTTCATGTCGGGGCCTTTTATAGCCGACTATACGGTATGGGTTTTTTCTCATTGCTGAAGGCCGTACGGTTGTCTATAATTATTTACATCCACTTTATTTGGACTTTGGTGGATGGTTGTCTGATTGGCAATCATTCCTCATCTCCTTATTCTTATAAAGCAGATCCGTATTTTTACATAAAACTCATATAAGCAATAAAAACATAATATTTCAATGAAAACCAATTATTGAAAAATAAAGGACAAACAAAAGCACATGTATATGAATGTAAGCAGTTAAAGCTCTGTTTAAGCACAAGCAAAATGATACAGCTTATTAGTTATAGCTAAAGACAGCAAACTATTATATATATAGCAAGTTTTAGAATAATAAAAATATAATTAAAGATCAAGCAGGCTTGAAAGTTTGGTTCTGGGGCAGCAAGAGATGGCATTATTTACATGAGCTACAGGTACAATTTCTGCAAAACAGGTAGAAATAAATTTTTGAACTGGCCAAAGATTGATAGACTCCTAGCCTCATTACACAATGAGTTCCATAGTCTTACTGCCTCATAACTAAAGCTTTTTCTTACATACCTTATTGTTTTTGGTCTTTGTATATCAGCTATGCCTTTGAACTTAAGATTATATGCATTATCTTTAATGTCTATCAAATTATGTAAACATTGATGTGTGTATTGAAATCGAGATTAAAATCTATTGTTACACCAAAAAATTCCACTTCATCATCACACTGATACTGATTCCTCTAAAGTTGAACACTGTATTTTGTAGATATGTTTTTTTAACCTATTGCAATTGATTGGAATTTTTCTGGGTTTGCCATGAGAACCATGGTATTAGGGAGTTATTATCTTCCTCTAAAGGTTTAATAAATGATTAAAAAAAGTGCAAGATTTAGAACGGGTGTTATCATCAGCATAGTTATAAAATCAAAGTGTTTTACAAACAGGAATATGTCATTAATAAAGACATTAAATAATACAGGCCTGGGCCAGGTATTGATCCCTGTGGAACACCTTTATAAATATCAAGCATTTGACTAATACTTTGTCCAATTTTTACATTTTGCCTTGCAACAGGCAACCTACGGACCCCTCATAGAGCTGTTGCAAGGGTTCTCAACGTGCAGTGAATGTGGCACGCCCATTCTGACCGGACGTGGCTGTGTACTTGAACATCCCGCACAGCTAAACGGACGCCCCACTTTGGCAAGGGTTTCACTGCCGGTCGGAAGAGGACCTAAATGACCATATTTCTATTTCCCAGTCCCCCTTGGAGGTAAATAATTTAAGAAAGGTTTGTTATAAATCATGTCAAAACCGAAGTACTGACTACTGAACTGATGATAAACTCGGGGACTTATCCAATGTATTTAATAAACAACGAAATAAATAATCTGTAAGTTTTAGAACGATCCTTTTGAAAATAATAATAAAAAAAAAAAACAAGTCAAACAAATGTGTTTATAATATGCGTACAGCTCACAAATATAATTCTTTTAATTTCTGATGGAAATGAAGTGTTCATGGTGCTTTATTTCTATGTGACCTAATATAGCAAACGCTTGATTAGACTCCTCTTCACAGTAGAAGCATTTGAACATTGTTCTTGATTTCTATTCCTAGAACGATAAAACATATTCTCATCAAGAGAAACAGTAAAAGAAAA